AGCTGCGATGCGTTACGGTGAGCAGCGCTGCACTCGGAGCACTTTGTCCCGGGAATGTGGTTTTTGTAACCGACCGCAGCCAAAGACCAAGTCAGCGGGTTTACAGCCGCAGCTCGTGCTCCCCGCCAGGCACGGCGGCTCCACACGCTAGCACAGCACAGGCGGGGACTGCCACACTGCTTCCCCACACTTGTGACAGCCCAGAAACGTTCAGCTTTGTCTGGAAGTCTAAATGGCTGTTGCTCTCCCTTGACCACAAAACGAAGCTCGGCAGGGTGTGCTGCTGCCTTGGCCGAGCCCTCGCTGCCCGGTGCCAGCTGGCGGGGGCCTGGCCGGTGCCTGTGTGCCGGGGTCTTACCTGGTGATCTCCTCCTTCAGAGCAGCGGGGTCCGTGGGATAAAACTTCACGCGGAAGCACATGGTGAAGGGAGGCTGGGCTGCAGGGAGAAGAGCGATACGGCAGTCACCAAGTGACAGGGTTTGTCCCCTTCGTCCTCCTGAATAAGCCCGCTCGAGGAGATGGTCAGATATTGCCGGGGGTCTCCCCTGCCCTCCCCGTTACCCCCAAACACACCCAGCTGCCCTTGGTAAGGAGGGAGCAGGCGGGCATGGGGCCGTTCCCCACTGCGGTGGCCATGGGGGGAGCAGACGTCCCCGGTAAAGCCGTGGGGAAGCGCCCGCAGCACCGTCTGCCCGCCACGCTCCCCGCTGGCCAGGCAGGCCCGGTGCTGGCGAATCCCCCTTCGTTCACCCCCACCATTTCTGGCCCGGTGTCCGGCAGGGCCAGTGCCCCATGCCAGCGTGCCGGGGGGCATGGCCGGCTGCGACTGCAGTGGGACCGGTGGAGAATGATCCCACTTTTGACCCAGCACAGCAGCTTTGTGGATAACCAAAAAGGCCCTTTTTCTGGGAGATGTGCTGGGAATTAACCCCAGAGGGGAAGGACTGGAGAAAATGGAAATACATCTCAAACAAAGGGAGCGTGCACCACTGTCCAGGACATCTGCTCGCAGTGATACGCACCCCTCATCTGCTTCACAACCGACTTGGTAAATTCCAGCCAATGCTGAAAGGAAAAAGAAGGTAATTAAAGCAACTCAGCAACAAACACTTTCAGTTAATAACATTGACTCTTCAGGGCAAAATTAAACAAACAAACAAACCCCTCTACTTGAAATAAACGTCTATGCTGTGGTGGAGTCCATGAGCTGCCCGGCAGAGGTGGGAGGGGGGTGCAGCCCCTGCCCGGCCGGCAGCCGAGGGAGAGCCCGAGGAGGACCCGAGCCCCAGCATCCCCCATCTGATGTCCCCTTCTCTGCACGGCCTCGGGGAAAGCGAGGTCCTCCGCATCCCCTCTGGGCAGCCCCATCGGGCCGACGCAGTGGCACAGCCGGGCTCCGCTGGTGCCAGGGTGAGCGGCTGTGCTTGCTCAGCGCCCAGCAAGGACCCTCCGCCAGCCCCAGGAGAGGCACCAAGCAGAGCAGGGGCTCGCCGGCAGGATTTTCCCTTGCCCAACAAGGCACGCTGTCCCCAACGTCAAGTGCGGTTTTCAATCAGTGCCAACAACGTGGCCAAGTTAGAGGGCAAAGGATCCTTCACCCTGCTCCCGGTGCTCTGCTCGCCAGCCAGCTGAGTAAGCAATCACAGCACGGCAGTGAAGGTTTTTGTGCCGAGGCACCTGGTCCCCAGTTGTTAAAATCACCCTTCACTGGTGCCGCGTGGTTACACGTGTGCACTGGATGGCGTCGAAGAAGTGCACGGACTGGTCACTTTGAAGTCTGATTTTTAAAGCCTAAATCAAAGTCCTGCATGTAAAAAGTACAAACCCACCTCCCCGCAGGCTGGCGGCTCCGGGGAGTGTGGGGCTGCCCTGGGCCCTGCCCGGCGTCCTGCTCCCGGGGTCTGTGGCCGTCCGTGCCACGCAGTGCCGGCAGGCAGGAGCACGCAGCAGCGCGGTTCTGCCGGGGACGGCAATGGCTCTGCAGCGCTGGCTGCAACGACCGGCTGAAATCACCCAGCCCAACCCCACCAGGAACCGGGATCTATAATTATAGCGTGACACCAGGAAGGTTCAGTTCAAGCCCATATTTCTGAAATTACACTTCTGTGCCATCAAAAAGAAACCATCAAGCTCTGCCTGCAGCAAAGCCGCGGAATAGCTGCTGCTTTGATTTGACATCGTTTGAGCAGGCACATTTAGGAAACAAAGCGTTGTCAGTCAAGAAGCAGCTTCAGATGCTTGTGTGTTGGGAAGAGGGAACCCCAAAACACCAAAGCAAAGGGACTACAATTAAGGCAAACACTAGTTAGCACAAAGGATTACAGACCTACAAAGATATATCACTGAAATCTGGGACTGCTGTAGGAAACTCCAAATATAATGTCCACCACTGAGACAAAACCAGTGAGCGGTGGCTCCACGTGGCTGCACAAACTGGTCTGGGTTTCACTCGGGTGTTTCTGGGGTGCGCTTGGCACTGATGCAGATGTGCTGCTGGCAGCACTGCAAAAACCAGCAGCAGGGGTCGAGGGCGTCACAGCATGCCCGGCGACCCGGGGCTCTGGTCCCTCGCCTCGGTAACTCCCGGGACTGTGCAGACACAGCCCCTCCCTCCGGCATGAGGCTTTGGGGAGCCCGGGGGCGAGGGGCAGCCCCGTGGGATCCGACGGCCGCTGGCAGCGAGTGGTCCTGGTGCTCCGACAGCAGCGCTGGGGATGGGGAAGGAACACCACGGAGGGCTCCTGCGGGAAACGCCTGCCCCGGTCCCAGGAACCCACCGCAGGACCAAGGGAACCTCCAGGTCATGACGGTCCCCACCACACTGGGAAGAAGCATCGTTGTCTTTCGGACTGGGCGGAAATGGTTTGAGTGCCAGCCTCAGCATCCCCTGACCCAGACCCAACCGAGTGCCAGGAAACCACGGGCAAGGAGCCAGGATTTTTTTCTCTTGTTTTCCTCACTTTTCAGCATCTCTGATGTCTGTGGCCCTGTGCTCTCAACAGATGCATCTCACCTGTAGCAGCCCCAGGGCAGAGCACAGGCTCCTCACGGCCACGCTTAAAAATGAAGAGGTTTTCAGTGACGGCCACGTGCCCTCCCGGCAGGAGCCGCAGCCGTGCCTGGAGTGCGCCGTGGGCTGCAGCAGCCGCCTCTCCCACATCACACGAGTGCTGCGGCTCCCAGCCCAGCCCCGGGCAGGAGCAGAGTCGGCCCTGCTTGCTGTGCCCCCCCCCGGTGCATCCCCAGCCCAGGCTGCCATCAGGCACGTGGCTGAGTCCACCGTCAATAAGCAATATTGATTTGTGCATCAGAAATAATGGACTGAAGCGACAGCTTAGTTCATCACAGGCTTCAATGCAGCACTTTCAGCCGAGGGAATGCTAAACCCGGGCAGGTCTTTGACAGCCACAGCGTCTGTGAGCTGCAGGGCTGGGGCTGGCTCTCATGCAGAGGGGTCTCCCCACCCCGAGCAGCCCCGTCCTGGGATGCTGCTCAAAGCTGAGCGATGGCTCTTGCCTCAACCCTCGTGGCCTCAACTGAATCGGCTTATTCCCAGGAGCAGCAAAGCACCAGTAAAAGGAGCGTCCTTGGCATCACCGAGTGTGCCAGCTCTGCCTCCGCACCCCTCTCCCCGGGGGGCTCCCTCGCTGCTGCTGGCAGCCACTGCCCGCTGGCTTTGGGCTTTGCAGCCGGAGCGCAGGAGAAGCACCGGGCAGGATCCGGCCCTGGACGCTGACACCACCACACGCGACAGCAGAGAAACATCCTCTCCTTGCACCAGCTCGGACAAGACACAGACCCTGTGTTCTCCATCTGCCCGCTCGTTTGCTGCAAGAGAAGATGCTCCGAGAAAAAACCCCAGCACACCTCCTCCAGGGTGACTGTGCCGAGGGGTTTTCCAGAGCGCCGTGCGGAGCTCTCGGTGAGCGCAGACTTCGGCAGCGCTCTCTCTCCACCAGCCATGCCCATAGAGATGATGCATAATAATGCATTATAATGCACAGGGTTTTATTTCTACATGCATTTAAAGAGGCGATTCACCAAAAAGCAGGGAAACTAAGAGCCAACACAAGTGGAGTGGCAGTTAACGATCCGCCAGCATCATGCAAGAAAAATGCCTCTCCAGTACTGAAGAGCCACCGCTCCACAGCCACTGCAAATCCACCCATCAGGGCGTGCATCAGCGTGACGACGATGGCCAGGAGGCAGATCTGGGAGAAGGCTGGAGAAGTCGGGAGGGAGAGAGCCCAGAAAACACAAGTTGGGGGGCACAGGTGACGTGGGGGGGTGATGGTCCGAAGACCCCGCGAGAGGCAGCAGCATCTCGCGCTCCCTGACAGCTCCAACTTAGCAAGGTGGGAAGGGTGAGGAAGAGGAGGCTACGGCGCTGGGCAGATAAGCCACGTGAGTGTCAGTGGGTGCCCTGGAAGGGGAAAGGGGGGAGCGAGGGGCTCAGACGGGCCCTGTCCCACTGCAGGCAGCAGGGAAGGAGCAGCTCCCCGGCTGCCGGCAGCGGC